CTACAAAATGAGTTCAAGGCCAATCTAAACTGCATAGTGAAACCCTGTCTCAAAAAAAAAAAAAAAAAAAAAAAAGCAATTAATAGATGTCGACTATTAGAATCCCAACACAACAGGCAAACTGCTTTGGAATAAATGCTTTAGCTTGAAGAATGCAAGTAGGTAAAAACACATTATCTACAATAAAGTTAAATGATCTCAAAAGTTTAAAAATTACTGTACAAAAAAATATAGGCTAAAAATGCATGAAAACTTCAAGAAAAAGAAGACCAGTAACTAAACTTATACCTAAGTTACTTGATGATTAGAGCAGTTAAAAGATTAAATGGTATTAGGATCATAAAATACAATCTCTTACAAAGTATGTTGATTTTATTAATAAATACTGTACAATAATATGTTCTAAATACTGTGCAATAATATGTTCACCTGCACCTCTTTCAGACAGATGAGTAGAAGGGAGTAATTTCTTTAAATTCTGCAATTCGCAAATCTTGATTCAACTACCTGACATAATTTTAACTGTTCACAAGTCTTTCTCTGTGGCACAGGACTAAGGTCTTCAAGAATAAGTTAACACACTGCTGGGAGTAAAAAGGGATTTCAATAAATGGTTTGTAAAAGAACATGCAAGAGTAATCTACTTCAAAGGTGTTCTTAAAAACCAACTCAACATCAAATGTTAGGAGAATATGCCATATACCATATCACTTTTCAGAAGCAGCCAAGTTAACTGAAAACAATTTCAGTTTGGTTTGTTGGTTTGTTGGGGAGGGCAATCATATCATGAGTCATATAGATAAATGTATATTCTAAGTTGTATGTAGAAAAAATAATTTTGTTTAACTAGAAGATCAGAAAAATGAAGTCACCCATAATTTTCTAACACTGAGACAGCACAGATTCCTAACCACCAGACCATTAGGGAACACTGGCTTTCTGATACTGAACTCAAGATGTCCTGTAAGTGATCTTTCATTATGCATAATACTTTATTAAAAATTTTGTAATCAACTTAAATTACAGGAGTAAGTTGGACCAATTAGTGAACAAAGTGCAAGCCCAAGTATGTGTTCAAACTGTGGGACCAATGCTTTGATGAATTCTTTCTTTTCAAGACCATAGAAAGACACAGAACAATCTCTTGACTGCTGAGAAAGACTAAAATCATTTTTTAACTAAAATTAATTACTTGCTGGAGGCAGTGATGTATGTCTGTAATCTCATCAATTCTGGAGGCTAGAGAAAGAGGATCAAAATTTGAAGGCCAGTCTGGGCAATTGAGCAAGATTCTGTCTCAAAATTTTAAAAAGAAGGGGAAAATAAAAGACTGAGGATGTAGCAGCTCAGTAATAAATAAAGCACCTGTCTAGCACAAGGCTCACGAGTTCAATACCGGAGGGGGGGGGGCGCGGGTGGCGATATTTACTTTCTGCTCCCATCAAACAGAATCAACAACACCTTTCCCCTTTCCAACTCCATCAAAGAATGCTCCAGAATATCTGGTATTTTAACCATAGGCTAAGAATCTGAGATTGCATCCAAATTATAATGCAGTGGAAACTTTTTTCTTAAAGTCCAGTCTCACTCTCTATGGTGTCCCTACACTGAATCAGCCCCTGACAAGAATTAACAATTAGGGGCTGGGGATTTAGCTCAGCGGCATAAGCACCTACATTGCAAGCAGGCGGTCGTGAGTTCGATCTCCGGTACCAATAAAAATTTAAAAAAAAGAATTAACAATCAAAAAAACTGGAGCTGGGCATGGTGGTAGATACCTATAATCCCAGCACGCATGAGGCTGAGATAGGAGGATCACTGTAAATTCAAGGCCAGCCTACACTACATAGTGAGAATCTATTTCAAAAAATAAAACAAGAGAGAGAAAAGAAAAAACAAAGAAAACTGGAAAATTCTCAGAAATTAAAAGCTGCAAGAAAAAAAAATATTGCTCCATGGATTCCAAAATTCAACACACCAACAAAATATTTTTCTGTTAGCAGTTGAATTTAAATACAAATTACAGAGGTTCGGGATTTAGCTCAGCAGCACAGGCACCTGCCTTACAAGCACGCAGTCCTGAGTTTGATCCTTGGTACAAAAAAAAAAAAAAAAAAAAAAAACTATGGAATGAATTTGCCTGCCTTAAATACAAATTATTATTAATCATTTATAATTTCCTTTTGACCACATACATAATATTAATTAGTCTCCAAATGTTTTCAAAAACATAACTGTGACTGTATTTACCTAAAAGTTTATTTCCTAATCACCAAGCAGTTCTAATATAACAAAAAAGTAGTTGCCACTGTGAAAATCAGTGTGGAGATTTTTCAAAAAACTAGGACTAGAGGTTCCATCTGACCCAGCTATTTCTCCTCCTGGGTATCTTCCCCCTCAAATTAAAAGCATCATATCACAGTGATATATGCACATCAATATTTATAACAGCATTGTTTGTAATAGTCAAATCTTGGAAACAACCCAAATTCCCATCAACTGGTAAATGGATAAAGATGATGTGATTTTTTTTATAAAATGGAGTACTACTCTGCTATAAAGAAAGATATGCTCAAGACATTTCTAGGAAAATGGATGCACCGTGTACCCACACATGTGAGATAAATCAGACATGTGTAAATACCACATTATTTACCTGGTGTGAGAAACCAAAGGTGTAACTAAGGACCAAAATGTATAACAGGTTCTGTGAAATGGTAAGAAAATGTTCAAATGGGGAGGGAAGCAAGGGACAGGGAAGAGGGAAAAGTGGGAAAAAAAAAAAGAGAGAGAGAGAAAAGAAGGAAAACATGGAAACAAAGCTTTGGAAATGGGGAAGGAAAGAGGGGTTAAAGGGAAGGTAGGGGAACAGAGAAATAAACAAGTTACATCATGTACAGCTGCAAACTCTTTATGATGTGATTATTATGTCTATCTAAAATGTACCAATAAAAGCTGATTTTTAAAAAAGTGGTTGCCATTAGTACTACCTGAGACAGCTTGAGAGATGAGCTGTTCTGAAAAGACTAGAAATGCCTAGTGACCTTAAGTGAAGTAAAACGAGAGTTACACACAGTATCTATAGGTGTTTCAATAATAAAACTACTTGAACATAAAAAATTCAGAGCCAATGACATGTAAACTGTAAAGCTACCTATTTTATATGCATGTCTAAAAAAAGAAAGCAGGAAAATCACTAGGTACACATCCAAATCAAAACAAGAAATTATTTAGCAATTAATTTTTCAAGACCCAAAAATTTAAAAAGTTTTTGAGGCTGGGTGTGGTTGCACACACCTACAATCCTAGCACTCAGGAGCAAGAGGCACAAGGCCAGCCTGGGCTACATAGAGAATTCAAGGCCAGCCTATACTATATAGCAAGATCCTGTCTCAAAAAACAAACAAGTTTTAAGCTCCACAATACTGCAACTGTATTAAAGTACAACTGGTATAAAATTTCAGCTCTACTAGTTGGAAGACACACAACACAAATAGTAGAAAACAGAGATTGTTTACTTTGTGGTAGGCACTGTTCTAAGGACTCCATATTTAATATATAAGGCGAGTGCTATTATCTCTATTTTACAGATGGAGAAACTGAGGCACAGATAAAGTCACCCAATGTCATACAACTAGTAAGAGGCAGAGAAGGTATATTTTTAATCCTTTAGAGTATGACTCTGAAATTCACATTAACCAATACACCATCTTACAGTAGGGGTTATCACTTTTTTCTTTTAATCTGTAACTTCTTTGGCTTCCAAACATTTTAGAATAGCATCATGCACAAAGAAAAACACAAGCAGGCAGGTCTGGATGTCTAACTCAGTAGTAGATGCATGGCAAGTATGTGGGAGGCCCTGGGTTCTCCAGATTCCACCTCACAGTGCTAATTCCCTCCCCCAAAAATAGCACAAGCTTTGGGATCAAACAGATCGCTGAACAAAGTCGAGGCTCAGCATTTCCATACACAAAATGAAGGTAAATTATTGTGAAAATCAAAGAAAGCCAGTTGTGATGGCTCATGCCTGAAATCACAGTACTCTAGGAAGCTGAGACACGAAGATTGCAAGTTCCAAACTACTCCGGGTATCTTACTAAGACCATATTAAAATAAAAAGCATAAAAAAGAGTTGGAGTGCAAAAAGCTCAATGTGAAAGCCCAGGGTTCAACTGCCAGTACCAGAAGGAAAAAAAAAAAGTCAAAGAAGATAATATAAATTGCCAAATCCAGTACACAATACAGGTGGTTCTTCGCGTTGTTTTGTTTTTATAGACAGAGGCTCGCTATGTAGTCCAGCCTGGCCTTGAACTTGTCACGATCCTCCTTCGTCCGCCTCTTAAGTACAGGGATCACAGGCATGAACCTGTTTAGGATATGAAGCTTGCAGTCACCCAAAGGGTACACAGCCTACAAATCTTATGACTGTGTATGTATGTCCAGTTTTTAAAGAATTGTCCCTGGCTTTGCATAAACTTACAAGGGAGTACAAAAGATCTCCAAAAGGTTAAGAACTACTGCATTACACAGTAGGTGCTACCACTACTAATAAACAACTATCTTTCTCTTCTTGTTCTCATAAATTCTTCCTTTACCCTTTAAGGAAGACACATCAAGGCTTCACAATTGTTCCCTATGCCTTCCAAGGCTTCACGAGTAGTACAAGTTCATGCCTCAATTTTCTGGCGATACCTGAAAGGCCTTCAAGCACTGCTTCACCTCTCACTTCACCGAGACGAGTATACAGTATTTACTTGAGAAGAATCATCCACTAGGATATATGAAGCACCATGCTGCCCAAAACCAAAAAGAATAGAAACGAGAACTTCAAGACTGAACGGCAGACACCTGATATTCTAGCGCCGGGGGATAAAGAAAATGTGTTTTCCAAAACTACTGGGTAACCCAGGAGTTCGACCCTCCCTCTTGTTCTCCCTCTGTGGAACCTAGGGAGGCAGATGAACTGGGTCCTGTCTTGGGCTAAAGAGAAACGTTACCTGGACTGAGGTCAGTAGCGCCAGCGAAGTCCCACCTCTGGTGAACTGGGAGGGAGCGGCAGCATCCGGAAACACACCGGCCCTCAACCCTCCCCCCAAGAGACCCTAGCATAGGTCTCTGCTGGGGCTGAGAGCCGGCTCCGGGTTTTTTCGTTTCTCTTCGTGACTTCCGCTTCCGGGTTATCATTTGCCGGAAGCGGGTGTCGATGACGTCAAAATTTCGCTCTCTGGGTGATTCCGGAAGAAACAGGGTTGCGGCGTGAACATGGTAAGAAAAGGAAAGAAACCTTGTTAGACCATTTTTAGGGTCCAACAGGAAAGGGCTCGGCTTTTAGCCATGTTTCCTTCTCAAAGATCCTCTTGCTTCTTTTCATTCAGATCTTCCCTCGTAAACTGCTCCGAATGGGACTGTTTTAGGATATGAGAAGAGGCTGGGTGAGGGAAAGGGGATAGACAAAAGAAGGTAATTTAAAAGATGCAAAATATTTCCAATCCTTTTAACTCTCAAATTTGTATTTCAAGGGGAAACAAAAGAAAGCAAGAAAGTATGCGACCATGAAACGAATGCTTAGTCTGAGAGATGAGAGACTGTGAGTTTCCGATATCAGTGGGGCTCTTAAACTGCCTACAGATAAGAGCCGAGGGGATAAGTACTAAAAGCTTTTGTTATTTTGTTTTTGCTTGTCTTATTGTGGCTTAGATTTATATAACAAGAGTTAAATGCCTAACTACTTAGCTAAGCAATTGCACTGGAAAAGGCGATGGAAATTAAGTATTTCTTAAATGTTTACTTATGTATTTCATACACTATATCACATTTAATTCTCGTAACATTTGTATGAGGTAGATATGATTGTTTTTGTGTTTTTAATCGTTACACTGTTACACACCCCGGAAGAAAAAAATGTTTTTATTGTTTGGTGTGTGTCCCTAACACCTAAAACAAATATTTTTGGGAAAAAAGGAAATCTTAAATCTAAGAACCAGATCACTATAGAAGAAAGTAGAATGATATCACTATAAAGATGATCAAAACTTTTCCTGCTCATGTGAAGACTGGGATAAAGTTATTAAATAATAACTGGTTATCATTTTGTTTAAGAATCTCAAAGTAAGAGAATGGTCATTAGAAGCTTCCAGGTTATTCCTCTGAGCCTTTAATACACATTTATTATGTACTTTTAAAGAAATGATGCCCTACTGATAATTTGTATTTCTAGTTGAGTTAAATTTTGCATTTGTGTTATGTGTTAGTCTTTCATAAGGAATATATGAAGGCTGGGGATTTAGCTTAGCAGCTCAAGTGCTTACTTGTCAAGTGTGAGGTTGTGAGTTCTATCCTCAGTACCAAAAAAAGAGAGAGAGAAGTATGTGAGCTAGGCTTGGTGGGGCTTGCCTGTAACCCCAGCAGACGGGATTACAGAGGCATGGTGAGGCAGAAGGATTACAGAGTTCTGCCTGGGCTACGCAGTAAGTTAAAAGAGACCCTATCTCAGTAATAATAATAGAATTTACCTTTCGCCCATACTGTTAAAATATTTGAGTCTTCAAAAGATAAATACCAGTGTGTTTACCCACTGCTTGAAAGTGGATGTTGATCCTTGATATGAGACCTTCTAACAAAGAAATTATAATGTAATCAACATGTACCCATTATTGTGTTACTTTTAACCTATTTCCTACTATGGTTATTTGCTTAGAAAATGTATGCCAGCATAAAGATGTCACAAAGTAGAATTTCCTCTGTAGGTTTAAAAAAAATGAAACTTTTAAATGGCACTATAACTACTATTACATTTTCTTCTCTGGATTTACTTTCTTTTCCAGCAAAGAAAAGGATAGATTAAAACCTAAAAAGAAAGAAAAGAAAGATCCCAGTGCTCTAAAGGAAAGAGAAGTGTGAGTAATGTTAAGTTTTCAAGTTTTCCTTTAAAAGTAAAAGGCTTGTTCTAAAACCATGGACTTCTAAGAAATTCAGGCATTCAGCTGGGTGTGGTGGTCCATGCCTGTAATCTTAGCTATCTGAGTTAGCAATCCTTAGAGTTAAGGAACGCTTCTTTGTTGACAGGAGTGTAAATTCATACAACCACTATAGAAATCAGAATGGAGCATCCTCAAAAAAATAAGCTAGAGGTTCCATTTGACCCAAGTGTTCCCTTTCTAGGCATCTTCCCTGAAGAGTTAAAAGCAACAAACCACAGTGATACATGCATGTGCGTGTTCATAGCAACACAATTTATAATGGCTAAATCTTAGATATAGCCCATATCTCCAGTAAAAGATGAATGGATAAAGAAAACATTCGTTGGACTGGGGTTTTAGCTCAGTGGCACAAGCACCTCCATGGCAAGCACAAGGTCATGAGTTCAATCCCTGGTACCAAAAAGAAAGAAAGAAAGAAAGAAAATACAGTATTTATATAGAATGGAGTGCTACTGTACCATAAAGAAGGATAACCTTGAATCATTTGTAGGTGAATGGATGTATCTTGACACCATAATTTTAAGTGAAATAAATAAAACACACAAGTTTAAATATAACATTGTTTCTCTAGGGTTTATCCATAGGGGAGGAAACCCTATGGATAAGACAGCAAAATGGAGGATATACTGGGAAATAGGAAAAACATGTTCAAAGAAAGGAACAAGGGAAAGGGGAAGGAAAGAAGGAAAAGGAAGAAAAGAATGAAAGGGAAAATTAGAAACAAAAGGTTCTGTAAATGGGGAGGAGAATGGTTAAAAAAAAAAGAAGAATTAAGATATATTATGTACTAACCAGGCCTGGTGGTTCATGCCTGTAATCCCAGCACTCGGGAGGCTGAGGCAGGAGGATCATTTCGAGTTCAAGACCAGCCTGGGCTACAAAGTGAGCTCAAGGCCAGCCTAAATTGCATAGCGAGACCCTGTCTCAAAAAAACACCAAAAACAAAGATTTATTATGTACTGGTACAAATTCCCTATGATGAATGTGAATGTGATCATTATGTATAGCAAGTATGTACCAATAAAATTTTTTTTTTAAGTAATTGCCATCTCTTAACACACCAGCATTCTTTCACTGAGAAAATAATAAGGGTTTTATTTTCAGAATAAAATCCATTCCTTTTTTTTTTTCCTTTTAAATAAGCATCTTTAATTTTACAAAAGCCTTGGGACTTTTTTTTTCCTCTCTCTGTCCTGGGTTGGTGATAGCTATATCATCACCTGTGGATTCTAATAAAAAATTAGCATTAAGCATCTTGGACTTTTAGATGAGAAATGGGCCCTGTTGTAGTACATAATCCTCACAATTCACAAGAACTAATCCATATCACATGCTGTGCAACCTGGAAGCATGGCAAATTTGCCATAGTATCATTCTAATCATAGGAGCCATTTTCTACCTCTGTATCCTTGATGTTCTGTTCCTGATTGCATTTTAAAGTTGTGGCAAAGTATGCTAGTATGAGATTAAGATATGCTGTTTTTTCCTTATCTTCCTTTTTAAGGTTTGTCTCCTATGAACAGAGGAAAAGGAGCATAATATAAAATGAATAATCCCAGGCAGAAACGTGTGTGTTTTGAATACCAAAGTATCATTATAGACTTTATTTTGTATTTTTATTTTCTTTTTTCTTCAGCCCCCAACATCCTTCCTGCTTATTCTTCCAATATAATACACAGTTGGGCCCACCTTATCATATCCTGGTTGATACCAACTTTATCAACTTTTCTATCAAAGCCAAATTGGACTTGGTACAATCGATGATGGACTGTCTATATGCCAAGTGTAAGTATAATGCGTCCACATTTCTACAACATTAGTATAGGGTAATCATATTATCAGTGTATGAAGAGAGGGAGCTGGGGTTCTCTTGAAATGAATTCTGGGCGTTTAATTTGCAGCTGTGACAATAACAGTGAGTATCTTTAATGAATTGAAATACAATGCATACTTAACTGTGATTAACTAAACTGTCACAGTTCTTAAAACATTGCTTTAACCATGATTATGGACAGCAATTTTGAGCAAAGGAGAATTTTCTGTTGTAGAATTCTGGACTTTTAAAGTTTTGGACATTTGATACTATGTATTTTGGAATATGTGTTCTTTTACATTAATAAAGATGCATTCTCCATTCTACTCCAGTGTGGAAAAGCTGACACTTCGCTATTTATGATCACAGAACCAGAAGTTGGATTATGATCCAAGTCTTGTTATTTACTTATATTACAAAATGTCCAGGAAATATTTTACACTTAAATGCAGTTTACCTATTAATAGCGTTTCCTTGTGTGTTTGTTTATTGCTTTCAAATAATCTTCTTTTTTGAGCAACTATTTCTAAGATGATAATATGTAATCTATTAACAGGTGATTTCTTACTGTTTTTTTTTTTTTTGTAGTTCTGTATTACGTGTACCCTTACACCGCTTTGTTTTGTTTTGTGTTTTTCTCTTTTTCCTCTTAAATAAAATTAAAAAAAAAATAATAATAATCTTCTTCACTACCATGAGTAAGCAAAAAAAAGTGGGATAACTTCCTAATAATAAAATTTTATGTATCATTTCATAAGCTTCCTGTCATCTGGCTTAAGGTACAAATGAAAAGCATACATATTTTGCCATAAAGAATAAACCATTGGCATCATGGGGAAAATTTGCTTCTCTTTCTTTAATCTTTAAAGGACACTACCAGTATTTTTTTTTTTTTTTTTTTTTTTTTTTTTTTGGTGCTGGGAATTAAACTCATGATCTTGGGGTTGCCAAGCAGGCACTTATGCCACTGAGCTAAACCCCTAGCTATATTTCCTTTTTTTTTGGTCTTTTTCATTTTTATTGGTACCAGGGATTGAACTCACGACTGCCTGCTTGCAAGGCAGGCGCTTATGCCGCTGAGCTAAATCCCCAGCCCCTACTAGTATATTTCCTTATTGTGCTTCATTTTATTGCACTTCACAGATACTCCATTTTATTTATTTTTTTGAGTAGGTAATGATAAAAAAATTTTGTAATTTTTATTTTAAAGAGAATAAAATGAAGCAAAATAAAACAATAAAGCCAATCAAAACAAAACAGTGTAAGTGATGCAAGACTTCAAAACAAGATAATAGGAAGTCAACAGTGGTTATCATAATGCCTCTTTGTTGTCTTCAGTATAGCTGCCCATACCTTCAGACATACTAAAAATCAAAGAAAACAGAACAGAATAGAACCAATAAAAACAGAACACTGAATGCAGTAAAGGACTTCAAAACAAGACAATAGTAAATCCAAAATGGCTATCATTAATATATCTTGCTATCTTTGAAATGGCTGCTCATGCCATTGGATATAATAAAATCAAACAAGACAAAACAGAACAAAACCCAAAATGAAAACAAGACAATGAAAATGACACAGGACTTCAAAACAAGATAATAGGTAATTAACAATGGCTGTCACCTTCAGAAGATACTCCATTTTATACAAATTGAAAGTTAGAGAACCCTGCATACAGCAAGTCTCTGAGCATCATTTTCTCAACAACATGTATGTACTTCATGTCTGTGTCACATTTTGGGAATTTCCACAATATCTCACTTTTTTCCTCTTTTTTTTTTTGAGACAGGGTCTTGCCATGTTGTGTAGGCCAGCCTTGACTCACTATGTAGTCTAGGCTGGCCTCAAACTCCCAGCAATCATGTGTCTCAGCCTACCAAGTACAGAGATTACAGGCATACACCACCACATCCAGCTTCTCCTACTTTTTATTATTTTTGTATCTGTTATGGTAATTTGTGACCAGTGATCTTTGATGTTACTTTTTAATTGTTTTGAGGTACCATGAACTGTCCCCATATAAGATAGCAGACTTACTAAATATTGTACGTTCTGTTTGTGATGAGCCATTGTCTCTTTTCTTTCTTTCAAGTCACCTTATTCCCTGAAAATAGTATTGAAATTAGGTTAGTTAATAACCCTACAGTGGCCTGTAGATACTCCAGTAAAAGGATTAATCACACATTTTTCCATTTAAATCAAGACCAAAATGATTAAAGTTAGTGAGGAAAGCCTGAAGCTGAAATAGGCTGAATATTAGGTTGCAACAAACAGCCCACTTGTAAATTCTTAAAGGAAACTAAAAGTGCAACTCAGTGAAACTAAATTGCCACAGCTGATAGGGAGAAGGTTGCGGTAGTCTCTATAGACTATCAAGCCAGTTTTAACACTCAGTCCTTCGAGCCAAAGCCTAATCCAGAGCAAGGCCCTGACTCTTCAATTCTGTGAAGTTTGTGAGAGAGGATGCAACAAACAAAAAAGTGAAGCTAGAGGAAGTTGTAGAGAACTGGAATTAGAAGTGGCATGTGAGGATGTGACCTGATTATGTTACCCTCGTGATAAAGCTTTTGATAAATTAGGAGTGACTTTGTGTGTGGGGGGGTACCAGGAATCTAACTCGGGGCCTCCTGCTTACCAGGCAGGCACTGTACTACTAAGCTGTACACCCCGTCCTAGGAATGACTTCTTACAGATAAAGAAGGTTTTGTGAAGTAGCATCTACTTCTGGTGAAGATGCTGTGGACATTGTTGTTTTTTTTGTTGTTGTTTTTGTGGCTAGGGATTGCCTATACTATAGTCTCAACACTAAGCAAAATCCCCAGGCCAAAAAAAGCTTTGTTTTTATTTTGTTTCTCCCTTTGGTATTTGAGATTGAATCCAGGACCTTAAGCACCCACCTACCCACTGAGTTATATCCCCAGAAATAAAGTTGCTTTTTTGCTTAAGTTGGCCTGGCTTACTGGGCTCAAGTGATCCTCTAGCTTCACTTTTTGAGCAGCTGGAACTACATATGTATGTTGCATCAAGCTCAATAAAGTATTTTTTAATTACAGTAGATACATTGTTCTCAGATACAGTGATAGCATACACAATAGACTGTAGTATAACTGTTGTGTATACAGGGGAACCAAAAACCTTCTATGACTCACTTTATAAAATAAGTCACTTCATTGCAGTAGTCTGGATTCAAACTCACAGTTGTCTCCAAGGTATGTCTGTATGTGATGAACAGACCAGGGATTTAGTCAGTGACTTAAGCACCTGCCTGACAAGCGTGAGGTCATAAGTTCAATCCTAGTACCAAAAATATCTATATATAGTATATGATGAATAGCATTTAGAGTGTTAGTAATATAAATGTTTATTGATTTATTAAGAAGATAGGCATAAGGGATATGCAAAAAGTATAAAATATCAAAATTCTTTAAATACCTAAAATTAATAGTAGCTGCATGCTTTTTTTTTTTTTTCTTTTTTTTGGTAGGGGGGAGATTCTGGGGATTGAACTCATGACCTTGTACTTGCCATGTAGGGACTTATGCCACTGAGCTAAATCCCCAATCCTGTGCATTTTTTACATTTAAAAAAATTGAAAGTAACCACTAGGTAAGAAAAAATGATGCTGTTAGAGTAGAATAGTTATTAGTAAGGATCAGAATTAGTAGAGTAGAAAATGGTCAGGTGACCGTTATTTTTTTATATAGGCCTTTCTAGTTTTTTTCCTTTTTAAGATATATGTATATAATATTTTTGTTTTGCTTTGCTTTGTTTTTTTGAGACAGGATCTCACTGTAGTTCAGGCTGGTCTTGAGCTTGGTATGTAGCCCATATTGGCCTCAAATTCCTGCCAGTTTTCCTGCCTGAGCTTCCCAAGTGCTGGGATTATAGGCATGAGCCACCATGCGTGGGTAAGCTATGTACCTGTAATACTTAAAAATTAATTTAGACATAAGAATATAGTCTAAAGTTCAGTTATTACCATGCCTATAACAATGAATCTTTAGTGGCCTCATGTGGAGAAAGATGCTAAACTTGGTAGATTCTTTATATTCCTCATGGCAACACATAACAGTTGCCTGAGCTGCTTTTCCTGGAGTCGTATAGTGCCAGATCCAGGGAATAAAGTGTATGAGGATTCACCTTAACTCTTTTATAGGCCTGCTTTCCTTTGTATAATGTTTAGGCAGCAGCATTCACCATATTTTTTATCACACCTCATAAAGACATTCACAAAAGAGAACTTCTAGAATTGTCTCAAAACAGGGCAGAAACAGCAGAGCATGGTAATGCACACCTATAGTCCCAGCACTCTGGAGGTTAAAGAAGACGATCACTGAGTGTGAGACCAGGCTGAACTACATAGTGAGTTCAGAAATACATAGCAAGACCCTGTGTAGGGTGAAGGTGTTTGCAGAAAGAAAGGCATGCATACATGTGTTAAAGTGAAGGGGATTAGTAGCAATGTGTCCTTTATGTAATAAATTATTACATTTAAACACTCATCATATGTTTTAGTCATCCTTTGTATAAACAGTAACTTCCCACCTTTATACTATTCATTCAGTGTGCTTATTCTATAGTCATTCAGACATCTGAGACTCTTAAAAGACCAAACAGAATGTAATTCAGAGAATTTCTTTATTTGGTTACTAGATTTTGTGTTTCTTTTTTTCTGGCAGGTATCCCTTGTATAACTGATTGTGTTATGGCTGAAATTGAGAAATTGGGACAGAAGTATCGAGTGGCTCTAAGGTAGGAAGGAGCTAATCTAGGTTTATTCTGGGTTAGTACACTGAAGATTCTTTTGTCCTTTCTTCATTTCTTTGCTCTCCAAAGATTTCTTGGCCTATTCTTTTAATAATTAAACAAAACTAAGATTTAAAAAGTAAATATTTAAAGTTTTAGAAATTGTAAGCTAGGGCTGTTTGAACTAAGTTACTTAGCCATATTGGTCTTGTGGGCCTCCTTTTAAGTGCCTCTAGGTTTTTCAGTAAAAAGTTACTAAGAAGCTTGATAGAAGTTTGTTGTGTAGCATCTCCTTCAGAATTTCAATTTTAAAAATTTACATTTAAAAGTATGAGTTTATGAAGCTGCGTGTGGTGTCACACAGTGGTATTCTCAGCACTTAGGAGGCTGAGGCAGGAGGATTACTGCAAGTTTGAGGCCAGTCTGGAATACACAGTAGTTTAAGACCAATCTGAACTACATGGTGAGACTTTGTCTCCAAAAACAACCTTTTTATTATTATTTTTTTTTTTTTTTTTTTTTTGCATTTACTACAAAAGCCAACCTTGAATTTAGAGTAGATGTACTCAGTTTGGGCATGGTGGCACACACCTGTAATCCCAGCACTTGGGAAGGTAAGGCAGGAGGATCAACACAAGTTCAAGGCCAACCTGGGCTACACAGTCTTAAGGCCATCCTGTGCTACATAGCAAGATCCTGTCTCCAATAAAGAGAGAGAGAGAGAGAGAGAGAGAGAGAGAGAGAGAGAGAGAGAGAGAGAGAGAGAAGAGGGAGAGGGAGAGGGAGGGAAGGGGAGAGGAACTCAAAGTCTGTGTTGACCACCATGAATCCTAAAGACCTTTGTAGGGAATTCACAAAACTTTATAATTGTAGTCAGGAGTTGTGAGGAAAACAATTACAATCAGGACACAGAATTTATATTATTTTATGATGATCACTCAGAAGTAAATATAAGAAAATGCAGGAAATCTGTCCACAATACTAAGACCCAGAATATTCAGCCAAGGCCCTGGATCCCACAGCAATGTCTTGTATGAGTCCAGATGAAGACTTAGAGCCCATGACAATGCCTCCCATGAGTCCAACTGGAGGTCTAGAGCCCATGAGAAGGACTCACACCACAATACACTTGGGATTGACCGCATGTCCTTTACATCCCTTGGCCTTTTATTTTTGTTCGTTTAGGGGTAGGGTTTGTTGTTTTTGGTTTGTTTTGTTTTGTTGTTTTGGGGAGAGAGGTTGTTTTTGATTCTGTTTTTGGTACCAGGGATTAAACTCACGACCTCAAGCTTGCCAAGCAGGCATTTGTGTCACTGAGCTACATCCCTAGCCCTTTGTTTCTGGTGTTTTGTTTTATTTGTTTTGTTTGTGACAGGAACTCACTATATAGTTCAGGCTGGCTTTGAATTCACTATGTAACCAGACTGACCTCAAACTTGCCCTAATCCTTCTGCCTCAGTCCTCTAAGTATTGGGATTACAAGCATGCACCTCCAGATCTGGCATATTTTTATTTTTTATTCATGTGTTCATTTATAGATAGGGTCTCAATAAGTAGCCCAAGCTGAGTTTAAACTTGTAATCCTCCTGCCTCAGCCTCCCAGAGTGCTGGGATTATAGGCATACACCAACATGCCCAGCTCCAGCTGCATTTTTGTAGACTATCATTTTTATGTTAAAGAGCAACTGACAGGGGCTGGGGATTTAGCTCAGCGGCATAAGCGCCTGCCTTGCAAGCAGGCAGTCATGTGTTCAATCCCTGGTACTGATAAAAAAATGAAAAAGACAAAAAAAAAAAAAAAAAGAGCAATTGACAAACACTATTCAGACTTTGATTTTTTGTGTGTTTTGTTTTGTTTTGAGACAGGGGCTCACTATATAATTCAGGCTGGTCTTGTACTCCCTATATAAGCCAGGCTGGCCTCAAACTTGCAGCAATCTTTCTGCCTTAGCTCCCTAGTGCAGGAATTACAGGTATGTGCCACCATACCCAGCCAGATTTTGATAATTGACATATATTTTCTCAAAAATTAGGAACAGTAATCATATCACATTAAGGAAAACAACTTATTTTATTTATTGCCAGGGTAAAATTCCAGCTTTCATGTTATGAAAAATCATAAGTTTAACACATTCCTAATACTAAAGACTTTTTCTGTTGTGACAACTGTTTAAGACACTGTGATTTTTTTTTTAAATGTATGATGAAGTATGAATATTTGGAAAAGCTGTGTACCTAGATAAATCATTGTTTTTCGGATGACTAATATATGATGTTACAAAACTATGCATGGATAAAGGCATATTTAAAGTATAATGTAAAGGGGGCTGGGGATTTAGCTCAGCGGCATAAGCACCTGCCTTGCAAGCAGGCAGTCGTGAGTTCGATCCCTGGTACCAATAAAAAGGAAAAAAAAAGCATAATGTAAAGATAAATAATGTATAATATAAGGTTTGGTATGATGGCACACACTTGTAATCCAAGCATTCAGAAGGACTGCTGTGCATTTAAGGCCAACATGGGCCATGCAGTTTGTTGAGGCCAGTCTGAACTAAACAGCAAGACCCTGTCTCAAAAATAATAATACTAATAAATTTTGAAAGTATAACATAAACCAATGGATTTGTTTTTCTCACCTTTATGGAGTTGTAACTTGCATAGTTTGGCAAACATAATCATGGAACTCTCTTCATAGTCATTAAATAAAGCATTTCTGTAGCTCTAGAAGGATGATTTTTTTTTTTACATGAAATTCTAGAAAAGGCAAAATTATGCTAATAGAATACTGATCAGTGGTTACTTGGAACTAAGCAATTTGTACTGAACGTGAATACTTTTTTTTAATAACAAAAGATACCAGAAACAAGGTGCAAATAAGCCACAGATATTAGTTACATTTACAGTAACATATATATGTTCAACAAAAGGCTTATTTTCAAACTGAACTTTAACAAATAATTGTTAAGTTCACAATGAGGTATTTCATACCCATTAAATTGTCCTCAATTTTTTACTTGGTATTTTTGAGGCAGGGTTTCACCACGTAGTACAGACTAGCCTTGAACACACTATGGCTTGCCTCAAATTTGAGGAGACCCTCTTGCCTCAGCCTCCCAAGTGCTGGGATTACAGGCATGCCACCATGCCTAGCTGTGGCACAAATTTATAAATCTGCCTGACTGTTCAAAATAGTTGAAACTGGAGCAATAGGAATTATCATACTCAACTACTAAGGGTGTCAATTAGACATCACTTTGGAGAGCAGTCTAGCAACTCTAAAGATCAAGGTCATCTGTACTCTTAACACTTTGAACCTGCAGATCAACCAAACCTTGTGAAATCAGTTTAATGAGTCTCAACCAGTACTTTTTAAAAAGTGTAATAAAATGGACTATAACCCTAACCAAATATGCAGTATTTTTGAGGTACTCAGTAGCTGTGTGTTACTTTGTATTTTTATTTCTGTGACTCACCATTGTGTCATAGAAAGCACATGGCTCTAGAAATCACAGACTTGGAGTCTTTCTTTTTTCAAATTTATATGAAAATGATACCTTTGAATATTATGGCAAACTATAAAATACACTGATAATAAAATAGTAAAAGTCTTTCTCCATGTTCACTTTATCCATTCTCTTATCCTAAGAATGATGACTGAGAAGGGTCAGTAAATTATATATATATATATGTAAAAATATCTTAATAGACTTTTGTTACATAAATGCAAATCTAAAGAAAGACTATCAGGAAAATTAGAGAAAAAAGTAAATTATCATTTATACCTCTCAAGTTACTCCTCCTCGATATGAACACTCTTCTCCCATCTTTCTTGTGCATTCTGAAACATTTCTGGAAAGCATCTTTTTTAAGTGTCTTTGCAAAGGGTGATGAAAATTACAGTGGATGTTGCTGGCAAACCCCATCCAATGGAAAGACAGTCTCTTAAAAACAATAAGGAATATCCTCATCTACCTTATTTACTGAATCTGGCACCGTGTGATTTATGGCTCTCCCCCAAAGTCAAAGCAACCACAAAAGATAAATGTTTGAATCCATGCAGGACATGGAACACAATTAAAGACACAGAATAGGACTTACAGAACTGCTTCAGAAAGTGACAAGAAATACACATATTTTCCTGGCCTGTTGTATTTATTCAGCAGTTTAGTATTGGTTCTCCATACCTACAGCTCTACCTCGTTTTTTTTAAATAGAATAAGGGTCACCAAAATGTTTTTAACTTTTGCCTTGTTAGTGGATATTTAGATTGTTTCTGGGTTTTCACTCTTTTTTTTTTTGGCCAGGGATCGAACTCATGATTGCGCGCTTGCAAGGCAGGTGCTTACGCCACTGAGCTAACTGCCCGGACCTTGGTTTTTCACTCTTAATAGTGACCATTTTTGTGCCTACCTGTTAGAACATTTGTGTAACACAGCTTCCCAAAAGTGAAGTATTGGGTTGAAATTGATTTGGTTCTGAATCTTGGCTTTTTCCTGCTGTGTTGGTTTCCACAAGTTAACCTTTCTGAACCTACTTCTTTTTTTTTTTTTTTTTTTTTTTTTGTCTTTTTCCTTTTTATCGGTACCGGGGATCGAACTGACGACTGCCTGCTTGCAAGGCAGGTGCTTATGCCGCTGAGCTAAATCCCCAGCCCCCCTACTTCTTGATGGAAGCGAAGTAATTCAAATTGTGTGATGATTAAATGACAGGCACACCAGCTGTCAAAGCTTTGGTCCCCTTTCCTACAAGTTGTCATTCCAGTTAGGGGATAAAGCTTTCAGAGGACAGAGTGTCTAAAAAATCCACGTAAATCATGTTACTTTTGTTTCATTGATTGAGGCACAAGAAGTTATCCAGTCACTTTCATTATTTTCTTTAATTGACTCTTCTAACTTTGCAGGATTGCCAAGGATCCACGATTTGAACGATTACCTTGTACACATAAAGGGACCTATGCAGATGACTGCTTAGTGCAGAGAGTAACTCAGGTATCATCAGTTTTTAAATGTTTATTTTGGGCTTTAAAAAACAAAAAGTGAAGTCTTATCTCCTTTTTTTTTTTTTTCTTGGTACTGAAGATTGAACTCATGACTGCGTGCTTATAAGACATGTGTTTATGCCACTGAGCTAAATCCCTGGCCCAAGTCTTATCTCCTGAATGTTCAGGGTCAGTAAAGTATCTGTCAGGTCTGTAGGAATATAAGTGTGATATATATGTATTTTGTATTCCTTTGGAGAAGTCATAGGCATCCTCATTTACTTGAAAAAGTGGATTGAAATTGGGCAGAAAATAAGGTTTCAAATCTCAGCACGTGCATGGACTGGGTATATTATTTGGGACACATACTCGTTTTTCATTACACAAATCTGTTAAAAAGGTTTAAGTGAGTTAATATAAATACAATATTATATCAGATTCCATCTCCCTCTGAATCTTAAATAAGTTTCTGTTTCCTCACCATGCAAAAATTTTGTCCTTCACCATGCCTAACCCAGAAATATTTCTCAGTAACATCTGGGAAAGCTCCCAGAATACTATCTCACATACTGGGATAAACAGGCTTGAATTCTCCTATGCTGCAGTCTTTATCAAACATAAGAACTGCTACTACCGATCATTCTTGTGTTTGTATGTGCAGGCATGTGTGGGAAAGGTGGGGTACTGGAGATTGGAATCCAGGAAGGCCCAAAGTACATCCTCAACCTTTTTTTTTCAAATGTTAATCTGAGACAGGATCTCACCAACTTGCCCAGGCTGGCCTCAAACTTATGATCCTCGATCCTTGGCCTCCCAAGTAGTTAGAATTACTGGTGTGTGCCACCACCCCCACCCTGTAAGAACCTGTCTTCAGCTGGGTATATATTGTTCATTAGTAGAGCAATTGCCTGGCATGCGCCAGGTCCTGGGTTTGATCCCTATCACTGAGCAAGAGGGCTCTCTTGTTGAAGATGATCATCTTTATGTGCTGGCTACTCTGTAAACCTTTAGCCATTTGATCCTATAGTAAGAGAAACCAGCATTTCCCTTAATTTCCACAGCACGTATGCATCATGATGTGACATTTTATAAAAACTCAGTGGAGATTTGGATGTGACAGAAGCAAAGTACAACACAAACTAACTCCCAGCTGATACCTGAATGATGCAGCTTTCAGAGCTACTAAATTGAAACTTCCTGGAGATTCCCTTCTGGGTTCTGACCTAGAGAATGGCTTACATCCACCATTAGGAGGGCTCAGAACATGCCTAAGCCGTGAGATCACGAAAAGGAAAAAGCTGTGCCTCCCATCTAAGGCACTTACTGTGCATTTGCATGATGTCTCTGGTGTGTTTTCGTAAAACTAAGAATTACCTGCCCTGTGAACATCTCTTTCATGTGACAGGAGGGAAGTGGTTTGTAGCTTATAAACAGTTCTTTCTGGATTCTTCAGGGGTCTGTTTTTTTGACCTCTCCTCAGCGTTCTCTTAGAGCTGCTGGTAGTGCACTGGTGGTATGAGGTGCCCGTAATCGCTGTACTTCAGGAGGCTAGGCAAGAGGATCAGGCCCACCTGGGCAATTTAATGGCTTAGTGAAACTCAGTCTCAAACCGAAAAATAAAGGATAGGGATGTAGCTCAGGGCAGAGGCTCCTGGTTCAATCCCCAGAGTGGGTGGGGAGATTCTGAAAAATCCCATTCAACTCCGGCAATTCGTTATATAATTTAAGAGCAAGCTCCTAGGCCAGGGATTTAGCTCAGTGGTCTAAGCACCTGCCTGGCAAGTGCAAAGTCGTGAGTTCGATCCCCGGTACAAAAAGAAAAGGAACTATAAACAAGCTCCTAGATCATAGTTGGTACTCAACAAGTTGTTACAGCTTCCTTTTGCTAGTTACTTTGAATTAGGCTAATCAGTGATTGTGCCATTTTCTAATAGTATTAAATATCCTGAACTCTGAACATCAGTGGGTGATTCTTTCAGCACAAGTGTTACATTGTGGCCACGGTTGATCGGGACCTTAAACGGAGAATCCGGAAGATCCCTGGAGTTCCTATCATGTACATTTCTAACCACAGGTGAGAAATTGCTCTTGGGAAAAGATTAGAAGTATACAGTTGATAGCAGTTAAAAATGAGGCCAGTTATAAGGTTATAGAATTTCAAGGAAATCGCTGTATCAAATGTTTACATGGTTATTTTATTTGAGGGAATAAGACAAAGTAGCAAGAACAAGGGCTGAAGGAAAGACAGGATTTAGCAAGGAAGCAGTTGTTCAAATTGTTACAATAAGAACATGAGAACAGACAGATGTATTACTTTCAGTACAAAGCATTATTTTAAATAAAGCTGATCTTTTTGAAAGGATATCTTTTTTAAAAGATAATTTTTAACAATATCTTTTTTGAAAAATAATCCTTAGCACTTCATCTAGGAAACAAAGAGCTTGTTTTTAAAAACCCCAAAAGCTGTTCTTCAGCATTTCTGGATGTTACCCTATCAGTCTTTAGATTATTATTGTCCAGCTTTGCAGCTTGCAGATAGCACAGTGTGGTGAAAAGCTGAAGGGCTAACTAGTTGGATTTCCCTGGACTCAGATCTTGACTCCCCTACTTGATACTTTGTGACACTGAAGAATAAAGATAATACAATCAGCATTTAGCTGAAAGTCATTCATTGTAAGATTCTGCTATGTTACCCCTGACAAAAAGGATTCATAGTTGAGACAAGAGAGTTTCAGTCAGTAAAGGATGAGTTTTAGATAGGTTCTGTACTCACCTTTCTTACCAGTGTTAATTTTCTGTCCTGATTAGATACAACATCGAGAGGATGCCAGATGATTATGGAGCCCCTCGGTTCTAATTCTTACAAGACAGAGTTCTCTACCTTCCTCCAACCACTTTTCTGCTTTCAGTTCATTGAACATGCTATAGCATGAATTATTATTCACCTTATTTGCTCTGTTATCAGCTAGGTATGGTTAAATACATTCATTTTTTGATGCTTTTTTGAAAATGGTAATTTGTCTACTTTAAAATTTGTTGTCTTTTTATAAATTAGATGCTCCCATGGTTGTTCACATAATTTGATTTACTCAACAAACATTTAAGTTTATGCTACATACTTACTAAAGTATGTTCCTGTTCTTAAGACACTTACATAGAAGAAAAAGACATATAAATGAATAAATACCATCAAATAAGTCAGACATGGTGGTGTCTACCTGTTAATGCCAGCACTTGGGAGAATCGCTGCAAGATCTAGGCCAGCTTGGGCTATAGAGTGAGTTCAGGGCCAGCCCAAATTACATAATGAAATCACCTCAAAAAACAAGGATGTGGCCTTCCCTTTACAGGAACAACCAGAAGGATACGTGAATCATTTTCACTCTTCGTACTTTGGCTGCAAGTTCTAGCTGCAAGAGATGCTAGGAAAGTCTCCAGTCCAAGGACCCAGCTACACATTTCATTACTGTGGAAAAGGGGGCCATGAGTACTTTGGGGTGTTTGCACAGACGAAAATCACATGGCTTGACTGTAGTTGACCTGTTCAGATGAGTGCCAGGACATTTTTATGACTAAAACATAGACCTTACCGGGAGATATCCTGTACCCACATCTGAGAGAGGGCCTTATATAGCATTTCAAAGGATTTGGACTTGATCCTGAGAATTCTAAAATAACAGGAAGAATCTAAACACTATAAAAAGATTAATGAATGTATTAAAATTACAGGTTTCTGTGGAAGCTACTTTGTTCCTTCACACGAGAAGCAACTGATCAGATTTTCCAGCATATGTATTCAAGGGTGTGGGGAAACTTTTATGGGGTTTTTAAAAATGTTTTAATTTTATTTTTTATTAATACATAGTTTTCATATATAAAGATGACATCATCATAAGGAATTTGTTCCTGTACATACTATATCTTAGTTCTTTTCTTTTTCAACTCCTCCCTTCCTGTCAACCCTGCTCCCTGTACATGTACTCAAGCTTTGTTTCTATTTTTCACTTTCTTTCTCTGTGGGTACTCAGGTTGATGAGTACAAACAGGCATAACCATTTTAGATTGTTGATTGAAAGGATGCATTAAAATAAAAATTACTGCTTTTTTTGTGACTCCCTCACACTCTATATTTTGGTTACTTATAAGTATCATATAGGTGATTTACTTTAAAATACCTTAGGATGGGCAAGAACGTATGTGTAAAGAACTAATCATGTGTACAAGAAGTATATGAAAACATTTATTACAGCTGTTTATAATACAGAAAAATTAAAACCTAAATATTACTCAAAAGTGACAACTATGGCATGTGGTAAGCATTTAAGAAAAATAAATTATGTTTCAAAAGGGGCAAAAGACTTAAACATTCTTCAAAGAATATACTTAAATGGCCCAAAGGCAGATGAATGATGCTATCCATCACTGACGATTAGGGCAATGCTAACCAAAATCATAATTTTATGGCCAACCTTTTTCTTGAGGCTAAAGGAAGCTGAGGAGGATGATCAAGAGTTTGAGGCCAGTCTAGGATACATAGCAAGACCCTGTCTCAAGAGAGGGGAGTGGGGAAGAGGCTGAATGGAGTAAGAGATCAAAATGAGATACCACCTCACATCCCTTAGGATGGCTACAAGAAAACAAATGACAAGGATTTGTACATCTTTGAACCCTTGTGCACTGTTAGGACTGTAAGATAGCACAACCACCATAGTACAGAAAAATGCCTGTTGCCAAAAAATGAAATTATATGCTCTAGAAGTTACACCTGTGGGTATCCAAAAGAATCAAAAGCAGGATTTAAATTTTTTTATTTTAATTTTTTGAGACAAGGTCTCATATAGACCATGCTAGCCTCGTAATGAATGAGGTGATAGTAACATAAAATCCTTGTTTGACCCAAGTATGGTGGTATATACCTATAGACCCAGCTACTAGAGAGGCTGGATCTTGAGTGGCAGGAAAATCACTTGCACTTGAGTTAAAAAAAAACACTATAGGGGCTGAGAATTTAGCTCAGTGGTGTAAGTGCCTGCCTGGCTAGCGTAAGGTCGTGAGTTTGATCCCCAGTACCCTCCCCAAAAATATATATATAAATATTTTTATATAAATATATACTTTATATAAAGCATATATTTATATGTAAATATATGTATATATATATTTATTTATTTATATATAGTGGGGCATGTGTGTAATCCCAAAACCTGGAGGCTGAAGTAGAGAAACTTCAAGGCAAGCCTGGAGTACCTAGTTCAAGACCAGCATGGACTGGATAGTGAAACCCTGCCTCAAGTGGTAGGGGTCGGGTGGGGTTCTGATCGTCACTGTATTAACTGATTCAGGCAAGAATAATCAGTATGATAGATAGGTATCCAGGTTTCAGTTAAGATATTTTCAGTGCAGTAGCAGAAATCCTAACTCAGTCCCAACAGTAAGGGAATGTACCTTGAATAGCAGGAATTTCAAAAGTAACACGCAGCTTGACGCACAGTGTGCTTAGGGTTACAGCTCTGTGTCCCTCAATTCTCTGTTGGCTTTGTCATCAGTCTAGCTTTGTTCATGGTCCCCAATTGACTAGCAACATCAACTGGAGCAACACGCTCCTTGTCCACATTGAGAGAGAGAGATGGCAGAAAGAAAGAAGAAAAAACAACATGCTGTTAATGCAGAATCCCTAAACCAACAAATTACAAGAGGGGAAATGTCACCATAACTGGCTAACTGGGATGTGCTTCAGGAGCTGGACATGGTCAGCTTGTTTGGAATGACATATGATATGTAAGAGATGTGCAGAGCTGAGAAAAATTGGGATTTTATTAAGAAAGGGATGTTCTGTTAAAGCATTCCATAAACTGGAGCCATGTTTAACAGTACAGGAAAAATGTCTTACTAGTATTTTTTCAAATTTCTCTAAACCTACTTTTATGCTTCTCCATTCTCCTTCAATTTTCTTGTGAAAGTATGCAATAATTTATTCAAAAGCATACATTTGTTTGCATACTGTTGAGTGTATGAATTCAGTGCAATATAAGTAGACAATATGAAATACTATATATATAAGGTATATTTTAAGACATAAAGAATACTTGTAAACACCTCTCTTTTTCCCTATACCTCCCCCTCACAGTTGTGATGATTAGGAATATCTATTCTTTGTTGAGTAGGAAAACTACATTTTTCTCCATTAAGGGCAAGTCTGCTCTAGTTTTTTGTTTTGTTCGACTGATTGTATTTTGAGACCCTGGGAATTGAAATTAGGGCATCACTAAGCAAGTGCTCTACCACTGAGTTACTGTAGTTTTCAATAGATACTCTTTATCACATCAAGGAAGTTCTTTTTGTTTTTCCTCTTTGTAGTACTAAGGTCAGGGTTTTTGTACTGAGCTACATCTGCAACCTTTTTTTTTTTTTTTTTTTTTTTTTTAGTTTTTGAGACAAGAGTCTCACTAAATTACACAGTATATTATCCAATTTAAAAGGAAGAAAGGTTTGTTTTCAGCTTATAGTTTCAGGATCTTCAGTCCATGCCTGCTGGCCCCATCACTTTGGATGTGGGAGCACAGTGTGTCATGTTAGGGGCAGATGGCTAAGAACGCCAGCCACCTTAGGGCAGCCAAGAAGGAAAGGGAAACAGGAAGAGGTAAGGTCCCCAAATCCTCTTCGTGGCCACATCCCCAACAAGCTAACCTCCTTCCTAAAGGCCCCCACCTCTTAAAGATTCCGCCACCTCCATAAAACACCACAGGCTATCAAGGCCTTTAATTTAGGTTTTCTGGAAAATAAGATTCAAACCATAGTACTAAGCTTTTGATTTCTTTTTTTGAAACAAGATCATTCTGTATTTTAGGCTGGCCTTGAGCTCACTTTGTATCCCAGGCTGGTCTCAGACTCACAATGATCCTCTTGCCTCAGCCTGCCAAGTGCTGGAATTACAGGCATATACTACCATACCTGGCATTTAAGCTTTTTTAAAAATGATAATTTCCTTTGGTTTTCTTGTTTCTTCATGGGTTTTGGATTTTGGTTTTTTTGTTGTTGTTGTTGTTTGTTTGTTTGTTTTCTGTAGGGTCTTGCTTTGTAATTTAGGCTGACCTTGAACTCACTATTTAGCTCAGATTGGCCTCAAACTCAGGGGAATCCTCCTCCCTCAGAATTAACCAGGAGTGGTGGCACGTGCCTATAATTCCAGTACTCCAGAGACTGAGGCAGAAGGACTGTTGTGATTTTGAGACTAACCTGGGCTACAAAGTGAGCTCAGGCCAGCCTGAACTGCTGAGATCCTGTCTCAAAAAAAAAAAAAAAAAAAAAAAAACCAAAAAAAAAAATCATGATTTTTTTTTTTTTTTTGTATCAGGAATCAAACTCATGACCTTGGGCTTGCCAGGCAAGCATGCTGCTGAGCTATATCCCCAGCCCAAAATCATGAAATTCTAACATTAACATTTAATTTGAAACATTTCACATTATTTTTCTGTGTTTAACAAGATGATCACATTATTCTCTCCTTTAGTCTATTACCATAGTGAATTACATTTTTTAATATTTTTCAAAAGGAAATTTTAAATTGAATATTAAAAATACAACTAACTTGAATTTCTAGGTTGATAATGTTCTGTTTCTTGATCTGGGCTTTGGCTTCACAAGTGTGATTGGTTTGTGAAAATTGACTATGCTGGATATTTATTCTTATAGTATCACGTATATAGGTTATACTTCAATAAAAAGTTAAAAGCAACACAATTAAATTCCTACTTAGGAATAGGTGCTCTTCCTTCAGAAGGATATTACCTGTCCCATTTTCTGCGCACATTGATCTGAAAGGGGTGAAGATCCGGGTTGTTAAGATGCAAGCAAAGTCAGATATTTAAGTGGCACAAAATGACACCTTGACACACAATAGTCTCAAAAGTTAAGTACTCTCTGAACTCACTGAAAAAGTGGTTTATTTAAACCAAAGAAGTTCTTGTTTAATATCATGCTGAGAGATTTTTAGGGAGATTATCTTCTAGGTTGTCTTCTCTAGAAATCTCTGTATCTGTCCCCTTCTCCCCATTTTTTGTTTGATGTCTGTTTCTCTAACATAGATTTTTGTGTTGAAATATCCTAAAAAATTCCATTTCCCCTTTTACAATACCTGCAGATGTTGCCTATTATATATGCCTGCAGGAATTGATGCAGTCTTACCTTCTGCCTTCAAAACACACTTCCATTCTTCACCACTTCGTTCCCAGTTGGACTTCTGGGTAGAATTTACTTAACTCTATTCCTTTAATTTGGCAAGAACTGACATCTTTCCAATTTTCCCTCTTTTTACTCAGGATAATTTATTATTTCAAGCCTAATTTTATTCTCAGATATGATCTTATAACTTCATATAAGCTCTACATATTTCTTATTATACTTATTCTTTGCTGTTTTGCTTTTTTGTTGATGCTGCTGCTGAGATTGTTGCTATTGTGGATGGAGTCCTTTTTTTTTTTTTTCCCTCTCTCTTTTTTCTCTCCCTCTCATTCAAAAATGAACCCATAAAGAGATAGGATCTCTACCACCCTTTTCAGTTGTGAGACTCTATGGTTCCTCGCTTCTATGAGAACATTCTACTAGTGCATGCAATACCCAAATTTGACGAAAGATGGAGACGGCGAGTCACCCCGCAAAAGGTCGCTCTATCTCGCCTTTGTTCGCCTCTCGGTGCTACTGCGCAGGCGTAGTCGCGCTGGTATGGTCCCCGCCTTCCCGGCCGCGGGCCCCCGCTCGGTAGCGCCGGCGCACTGGCGCGCTCCGTTTACACGCTCTGGGGCCTATAGCTGCCGCGAGTTCCGGCTATAGCCGTCGCCTCTGCGCTCCTGGAGGTCGGTTGCGACGAGTAACGGCGTCAGAACGAGCCCTGCGTCTTCTTTTTCGCCATGTATCCGAATTGGGGCCGGTATGGCGGGAGCAGCCACTACCCACCGCCGCCGGTCCCGCCGCCGCCACCGGTGGCGCTTCCTGAGGCCTCGCCAGGGCCCGGGTACTCGAGCTCGACGGCTCCCGCGGCCCCCTCCTCTTCGGGCTTCATGAGCTTCCGCGAGCAACACCTGGCGCAGCTCCAGCAGCTGCAGCAAATGCACCAGAAGCAAATGCAGTGCGTGCTCCAGCCCCACCACCTTCCTCCGCCCCCGCTGCCACCCCCGCCGGTAATGCCGGGGGGCGGCTACGGAGACTGGCAGCCGCCGCCGCCACCGATGCCCCCGCCGCCTGGACCGGCCCTCAGCTATCAGAAGCAGCAGCAGTACAAACACCAGATGCTCCACCACCAACGGGATGGACCTCCTGGTTTGGTTCCAATGGAGCTGGATTCCCCCCCTGAATCGCCCCCTGTACCGCCCGGGTCCTATATGCCCCCGTCCCAATCATATATGCCCCCACCTCAACCACCACCCTCCTACTATCCCCCTTCCTCGTCTCAGCCCTACCTGCCTGCAGCTCAGCCATCCCCTTCGCAGTCTCCACCTTCCCAGTCCTACCTGGCGCCCACCTCTTACTCTTCTACTTCCTCCTCGCAGTCGTATTTGAGCCATTCTCAGTCCTACTTGCCCTCTTCTCAGGCGTCTCCTTCCCGCCCCTCGCAGGGCCATTCTAAATCCCAGCTACTGCCACCACCGTCGGTCCCTTCTGGGAATAAGACAACTGTCCAACAAGAACCTTTGGAGAGTGGGGCCAAGAACAAAAGTGCTGAACAGCAGCAAACTGCTCCTGAGCCAGATCCCTCTACGATGACTCCACAGGTAAGGAAACATCCGCCTGAGTCCTGTCTTTGACCTGGAAGGCCCTGAGTGAACGGGCCTGGAGGCTTTTGCAAGTGCCTAGCCTAATTCCAACATAGTGACTAGCTTATTTACACTTCAACGGATACTTTTAAGAATCAGAGGCCTGACACCCAACTTTTTAATTACTTAAATGTGGATTAGTGGAAGAACAGTGTTTGAGGCTGTGTCTAGACACCATAGAATACTGGAGTGGCTCAAGAGTTACTTCTCAGGTACTGTATATGGATTGGTTTCCTTTGATCAACCTTCTAGTTTTTGTTGTGGAGAGACTTGTTTAAAGTTGTATTTTAAATTAAGATTTCCATTTGATAGGCAGCATTAAAAGGAAGCTCCCAAAAGGCTGACATAAAAATGCATGTAAGTCTTTATGACCAGTTAACTTCTTTGAAAAAAGAAATAAGGATGAGGTGTAGCTGTCAGCTTCCTAAATTAAGAGTTCTTAGCAAATGAAAGCTGGAGCATCCTAATTACGCTTATAGGTGTATTTGCAGTACATGGGTAAATTTCTAGGTATTTGAACCTTTGGAGGTCTGTTGATCCATTTAGGAATACATTTTTTTTTTTAACTTAAAGATAGTATTCAGACTTGATCAGTTTGCTACGTCTTACTACTGTAATGATGAAAATAATGTAAGTAAATAAAGTTGTGTGAGAGCTGTTCATGAGCGAGCCATCCCTCTAAACTTGTATTTAAAGGGATGCTTCCCACAAAAGATTGACAGGGTGGTGGGAATAAAGGGATTCCCCTGAGAAGGAAGGTAGAACCAAAGCAGAATAGATCATTTGTTATGCTTTCTTAAAATAGATACTTGTACAATTACTGATCTACATTAGTTTCAAAAAGAAAAAAAAATCATGTGATATACAAGCTTAATGTTACATATAAATAAAAAGTGTTCACCAGAGAAATAGACCGTTTTAATTTTATAGTGGTTTTAGCATTAGAAACTAACAGAAGCAAATTGTGCTAAGATGATGCTTGGCATATCATCAGGAGAAAACACTTAAGATACTGGGACAGAATAGTAGAGGAAGCAATTGTCTTGGCTCACACCAAATTTTGTCTCACTGTGTTATTTCTCCTACATTGCTGTATCATAGAGATAGAATTTCTGTTCTCTTTCTTACCTGTCTGCAATTTTCAGTGTTTTTGTTGTCAGACTTACTCAGTTCAAACCAAAATATGACCTTTATCTCCTCACCTCTACCAGACCATTTTTTTAGATGCACTGAGAAACAAATGAATTGTATTTTTGGAGGCTTGCGGGTGTATCAGACTGGCCTTAATATAAATATGCAGGTTTTTGCTTGCCTGCTTGTTTGCTAGCTTTCCTTCTTTTCTTTACTTATTTATGGTTATTTTTTGAGACATCTGGCTGTGTAGTTCAGGCTCACCTTACACTCTGTGTGTAGCACAGGCTAGCCTCAAATTTTTGGTGCTCCTCCTGCTTCAGCCTCCTGAGTGCTGTGATTGCAGCTGTGTGCCGCCTCACCCAGGTACCTGTGCTTTTCTTTATATCTTGGACTGTAATGAATTCTTTTCAGTGCCTTGAATATTCACTGCCTCCATTTCCTTAGTGAAAAGTAGAAAGTGATAGAAGATGAGGCTTGAAGAATATGTATGGACCAAGTCAAGAAAGGACCTTAAAAAGACGACCTTGTAAGCCTGTGACTTTCTTAATCTCTTGTCTAGAAGTCATCCCAGTTTCTTCAACCCTCTCTATCCCTAAAGTTGTACTATGTTAAGACAAACCTTAAATACAGAATCCCGGTGAAACTATATGACTGGTCATCTATCTGGTTTGGTGCAGTTCTTTAGATTTAAGGTCCTAGGCAGACACAGACTGTCTTCCATATCTTTTTAATCTCCTATAGCACCTAGTAGTGTCTTGCTACTTGTAGACCCTTCACAAAGATTTGTTCAGTAAGATCCAAGAATTGTCACCCTGTAGACTTAAGATACTTTGGTTTATTAGATGATAAACATTTCTTCATGCCAGTGTGGATCTCTGATAACTCTTCTGCATATTTTTTCATTCATATTTTACTACTGGAAAATTGAATTATATTATGTGGAAAGATTTTAAAGTAGAAAAATTTATATGAATGCTTATCATTTAAAATTGATGCCTATTAAGATGTTGCCATGTTTACTTCACCAATACTGTTTTTATTGTTGCTGCTGAAATATTTTAAGACAGCTCCCCCTCCTTTCATTGACTTAGGGTAGCTCTGAACTCTGAGTCTCCCTGGCCTCCCAGTAGGATTACAAGTACTGCCGCTGCACTCAATTTCAAAGCAAATTTTAAATCTTACTTTATCCCTATTTTTTTTTTTCCAGTGCTAGGATTCAAACACAGGGCCTCATGCATGCTAGATTAGCACTCTACTATTAATCTATATCCTCAGTCCCACCATCCCTACACTTTTAATTTAGGTATCTCTTAAGAAAAAGAAGATCTTTTCTAACGTAAACAGTATAATATCTAAAAATATTAAGGGTTTCTTAGTGACATCTACTACACAGTCTGTTCAGATTTCTCATTATGCTAACAATTAAAAATAATGTCTTGATATTGGTAATGTTTTGTTGGTTTATTCAAATCAAAATCCAAATCAGGATACACAAAAGATTCATTATAGAAGAAGGTTTCTCAGCCTCATCACAACAGACATTTTAGCAGGTTAATTCTCCTTCGTTACATACAGGAGGTTTGTCCTGTGCATTGTAAGATGTTTATCAGCATCCGTATTTATTGCCTGTTAGATGCCAGTGGTAGGCTCCCAGTTGTGACAACCAAAAATATTTCCAGGCATTGCCAGATATACCCTGGAGGTCAAAATCACTCAGAGTTAAGAATCTCTGCTTTAGATCATTCTTTCCTAGTCTTTTTTTCTACCTCATGCCTTTAAACTTGATGAAAAATCCTTGATTGTTGGGGAGAACATCTCACATTCTGGCTTTGCTCTCTCCTGGTGTTTTTTAACTTCTTCCTCTGTCTTTTATTTTTCTTGTAAATTAGATGTTAAACCTTCTTTGAAGTCCAGCTTTCTTTTGGCAGTGGTAGTGTATAAGTGATGCTGTGTACATCATTTACATCCATCATGTGGGACACAAGGTGCCTTGTCTTACTATTCCTGATGCCAAGATTGATCAGTGGGTTCAGGTGGTGACAGTCAGTCTGGTTTCTCTACTATAACCCTTCCTATTAGTCTTGTATCTAATATTTTATGTAGTTCTTTTTTTTTTTTTTTTTTTTTTTGGTGGTACCAGGGATTGAACTCAGCACTTGCTGAGCTAAATCTCCGACCCTTGAGTAAATTGTTTCATTAGGGTTTGCAAAATGGTGATTTTTTTCCCCCCCTGCTGTTTCTTTCCCACTTACTGTATGAAATTCTGTAAAGGAAACCTTTCACTCATGAAATAGATCTATTTGATTGGAAACATGATTGTTATAGGAAAGACAGGATACTTCTTTTTCTCATTTTTGGGACAGGAACTCATTATGCAGCTCAGGCTGGTCTTAAATTCATTATGTAGCCTATCCTGGCCTTGAACTTGCTGCATTCCCTCTCCTCCAGGCTCCCCCAAGTGCTGGGATCACAGGCATGAACCACCATGCTTGGCTCAACAGGGTACATATGTAATACTCTTTCATTGATTTCCCAATTTTCTAAGTAAAACACATTATATAAAAATATAGTGGAATTTTTTTTAACTTTTAACTTTTCTCTGTTAAAAGAATAGACTGCGTAAAACATAAAATGGACAGTTTTTCCCCATGAATTGTGATTTGTCCTTTCATTCTCAGAATAACTCATTTAAGTAAAGCTGTTGATGTTTTGTTTTGTTTTGTTTTGTTGGGACAGAGCTGGCTTTGGATGCATTATGTAGTTAAGACTGGCCTTGAATTTAGAATCCCCCTGTCTCAGCCTCCTGAGCGCTATAATTACAGGCATGTACCACCACACCAGGCATAAAGCTATTGACTTTGATTAGAGTTTTTAGACCATAGATTTAATGTTCAAGTATTTATTCATTGGCTGCCGTGTGCCAAGTACTGGCTTAGCTCTGGAGATAAAATGATAAGCAAGATGGACATGGTACCTGCTGTCACTGACTTGTTATGGCACCTACCCAGTAAGGGTAGCATTAATAAATGAGGAGAACTACAGGGTATTAAGTGATTATAAAATGTGAAACATTATTAGATTGTTCCATAAAGAACTAGAAAAGATGACTTTTTGGTTTTTGAGACCTTAATTTTTTGTCCTTTTGAGACAGTGTTTCATTACGCAGTTCAAGCTGGCCTTGAATTCACTTTACTTTTCTGTCTTTTTTTTTTTTTTTCTTTTGGTACTGGGAATTAAACTCAGGACCTTGCACTTGCCAGGCAGGCACTGTGCCGCTGAACTATATCCCCAGCACACTTTGTATCCTCACAGTGAATCCTCCTGTATCAGTCTCCTGAGTACTGAGGTTACAGGTATGCAGCACCACACCCGGCTTTTATTTTTTTTAACTTACTAATGTATTCCCAATGTCTTGCACAGGCTTTAGCACGTAGCAAATGGAGGAGAAAAATAATTTTTAAAATTAATTTGTTTAGGGTGAGGTTTGTTTTTTTGTTTTTAAGAGATGGAATCTCACTGTGTAGTCCAAGGTGGCATTGAACTCGCTACATAGCTCAGGTTAGCATTGCTCTCATGGGGATCTCCTGCCTCAGCCTCCTTAGTGCTGTGATTACAGGCAAATGTCACCTTGCCCAGCTGGAGAAGGAATATTTTTTAAATGATTGAATATGACTGAGAGCCCTTAACCTAATTGTATAGGGCTCCGTTTGTGAAGTAATTTTTAAGTGACTCCTAAAGAATAAGCAAGAATTAACCATATAGAATTCAAAGTTCAGTGAGGATTACTGAAAGCTCTGAGGGAGAGTAGTAGATAGGAAACCAAT